GGAAAAATTTTAAAATGAAATAAAAGTGTCAGCTGTGAGGCACTTAAAAGGTTGTGAGCTTTTAATTTTGCCAGTATCCATCGGCCTGCAAGAGACAAAAGGGAGCAGCAGAGCATTGATTATAAATGTTCCAGCAGAAATTTTCTAACACTGCAGTGCAGAAACCCTCCTAGAACAAGTTAAATCCCATTTTCTGCAATGCTCCTCCTGCAATTATCAAACTATCACTTTCCAAATCAAGCCTTTCGAATAACTACATGTCAATATGGGATTCCTTACATGAGCTTTTGTATTTTCACATTGCAAGACAAAGAAAAAAACATGAAAAGATTTTGCTGATATCCATAGACAGTCGTTAATCTGCAAGTCCAATGAAATCTTTTCAAGAAAATTAATTCACTATCATCTGTCATTCACTAACTCAGCAGAATTTGCACCCTACTGCACTGGCACTGTTAATTATAAATCAAAACATCCTTCATGACAGTATCTCACATTTTAGAAGCTCGTGGTGTTTTACAAGCAGTGGTTTCATTGAATGCATTATATTATGGGAACAATGCAAATGATCAAGTTGCAAAGATCTCTGCACCAGGCTTGGCAGGTAGAAAACAAGTTATTTTTACCTGGCCATGTCGCTGCTTTTCTGTAATCACTTTCTAATAATTCAAAGTCTTCTAGCTTTCAGAATTGCCTATCTGCGGTGTACAGGATCAGCCCATTGCCTCTGGCAGAAACGTGATAAAAAGTTTCTTTATAGGTCCTTTTAACACTTGTTATTCACTTTTATGACTATCAAAAGTCTGAAAAAAAATCCACACAATAGTGCTAATATTTCTAAAGATTTTCTAAATATTTCTAAACATTTGTTTTTAAACCAATGGTAGTTGCCATTTAAACAAGGCAGCTGTTTCTAATTTGTATTGGACAAAAGAAGTTTCTGTCCCTTTGTTAATTTATGTCTCTTGGTCATTATGTCCTGATTTTTTCCTTATTAAGTCACTACTATTTCAAGTTTAAATTCCAGTTTGCAAACTTCATTGTTCAACACCATTGTAATCTAGATTGTTTCTTGTCCTYACTTTATTTCAACACAAGCAAATTTAGCTTTGAAAAGCCCTTTTACTTTGTAATAGAAGTTATGACTGATTTTAGAGRATCTTCCCTCATGGACAGAAAAGAAACAAAAAAGTCCAATCCAGACTAAAAGCATCACACTAACAGCAACTTTGTAACCTGAGGGAATTCAATGCACAGCGATTACAGACTCTTGAGAGAAAATTTTCAATTTTTGAAAAAAAYTGATAAGAAGGAAAGTACAAATATTTGTTACCCTATGTCAAAAGACATATAAACTCTGTGTTATGACATTGGTTTACAATACTTTGTGCATAGAAAAAATTATCACATTTGGCAAAAGACAAAAAAGGGAGTGGATTCTCATTTTGTCAGCATTTCCACAAAACGAAGCCACGTGTCTTAGTTTAAGTATATTAGATGCAAAATGATCCATACCATTTTTTTAATTAACACTGAAGGTACTTCTGCATTTAAAATATGAAGCATCAATATGTATCTCTAGGGACATTTCATAATACAATTCCTGAATGGATTTAAGGATTCTTCCATCCTTTTCGCTCCTCTGCGATTTCCAAACCAAATCACATCCTCCAACCCTTCAAAAGAATGCAAATGTTTCAAAAAAGTACAATTTGGCACAGAATTGTCATCCACTGCCTGGGGCCATGATCTGGTCTGCAGGAGCAGTGCCAGCGAGGAGTCCAGCTCCCTTCCACACAAGTCTGCTTCTTTCATGACGCTGGAGGTTCCTCTGAGATAGCAGCTATTCCAGTTGTTAGAAAGGGATCTAGCCTAGAAATAGGAATCTCGTTACTGTTGAGGATACACAGGGATTAAGCCTAGAAGCAGGAATCTCGTTACTGTTGAGGTTACATCTCTTCTGCAGAAGTTGAAGAGTCCCCCTCAGGTGACAGCACCGGGGATTTGCCTTTGCCCCATCACCCCTGGAGCTTCTGGCCTCTGAATTCCTCACGCTACCTTGGAGTCATTGCTGACTTTAGCCCTGATCACTGCTATGAAAACATGTGGATGACTGAAGGGATCGTTAGGAYGGATTTTAATTTTTCCAAACTGATTAGCTGCTGCTAAGCTAAATAATATCTTGCTCTCACTGAACCCTGTATTTGGTTGCCACTGAAATGCAGGAGCAATTTCAACCTCAATCATCATAGCCACAAAATTACAAGCAATCAGAAGACGGGAGGGTGACAATTACAAAAAGAACTGATTAATACAAGATTTCACAAGGTCTTTACTAGGAACAGAAACTGATAAGCCAATGTCTACAGGTGTATGGTAAAGTCTACCTCTGGCCTCTATGTAACTTCATTACCAACAGCACTGCTGGGAGGTGAGAAGTTTTTGYTCATTTTAGCCCCTGGACCAAACACTCGGGTCGAAAATTTAGCCCCAATATTTAAAATACTCTTCCAATTCTATTGATTAATAGTCATTAGAAACGCTTCCCCAGTGATCCAATATAACAAATTCCTGATGTGATTTTTCTCTCTACTGCTGATGAAGAAAGCAGATTCCTGCCACAATTCTCTAAAGTGATACATTTGCATAGGCAGCAAATCTCATTAATTTTCATTTTCACGATTCAGGACTGACATTTTTCCCTTCACTAGTTAAATAAATTCTTTCCACAGGATTTCAAAGGCTGCTGTTAGCCCAGTTTTTGTCAGCACATTAAAGGTTTTCTAGTGTTTGAGGCTGACAAGTATGAGTACTCAGAAGTTTACRTTGCAATCAGGCTCTTCTTAACAAAAAGTTTGAAATAAAAGCTCAGAATCACTAACTATAATTTTTATCACCAGGCTGATATCATGTGATACCATGGCCTAAGGGTTTTTTTTTTTTTTTTTTTAAATAATCAGTGGAATACTTTATCAAATTCACCCTTGAACATTCAGCTAACAGTTGGACCTTTTCATATTCTAACAATAACGAAACAGTAGGAAAAACTGCAGGAAGACCTATATAAAGTGAAAATGAAGCTATACAAGGATAAAGTATTTTTTGTGGTTATCTGCAGGTCAGCTTGAAGAGATCATTCATTTCCTGATCCGCGATTAACTAACATTTGCTCTTCACCTGTGTTTCCAGCTTTACTAAGCTCCTCGTTTTGCAAGAGYTGGGTCTCAGCAGCAGCACCATGGACCCATTTGCAAATGTCCAAGACCTCAAGTCCAACACTATCAGCATARTAACAGAGCGAGGTATTTGAACTACAACACATGCCCATTTCCCCAAACAATTCATTTCAGATTTTCTTGTTCTTTCAGTTCTCTTAAGAAAGAGGTATAGAATTTCAATAACAAACAAGTCCAGAGAATAATAAAGACTCTAAAAATTAAATAATGCCCAAGTACACTAAGATAAATTCTCTTTACAAATTGAAGAGTCATTTAAAATTTCTCATGTAAAAGCCATCCACGTCGTTCTTTACACAGCTCTACAGATGAGAGGGTTCAGCAGTATTGGAGTGCAAGTGTAAGGGCGTAAGAAGTGTAAGAAATGTCCCACTGATTCAGGTTCAGCAGAYTTCTGCCCAATATCTAAAGGAAATATTTAAAAACTGGGGAGGAGAGGAGCCATCATGTTTTGAACTCGTAATTACTTGTATTACTTGACTGTAGAATATTTTGAATAGGAGCTGGAATATCAAAGTTAGCATCAAAGAGGGCACAACTGTTCCTAGGAAAGTTGTTTTCGGTRTGTTAGCTGCCTTGGGTGAGTCTGTCACTGTTCAGGGAGAGAACCACCATGCATCACTCATTGCTCCTTCTCCACACTTCCTCCTCCTCAGCATCCAGGGACCTCTGACTTCTCCAGTGAACTCTCAAGTATTGCTGCCCACAGCTTATCACACTTTGGTAAGTCTTCTAAATCAAAAGGCCATGCTCTGAATTAAATATGAATAGCAAAGAATTCCCTGTCGCTTGTCCTTACAGAGGAGACCGAGCCGGTGAGCTTTCTCATTTGCCAAACGAGGTTCTAATGTAAAACCTTGGAGAGGGTACGAAATAAGTACTTCTTATTTGCAGCCAGCCTCTTCCCTGGATTTCTCCTGGGATTTAGAGCAGGCTGTGAAAGCCAGCTGCTCTAATTAGCACAGCAAACTACAGTTTTGCTTACAAAAAGAAACAAATTAAAACTTTATTCTTTCATTTCTCAGTAAACTGTATTCCCTGAACAAAAGAAATCCTCCTAACAAAGGCATGGAGGTAGCATACATTTCATAGAGCTTTAAGTTCAAAAAGACRGGAAAAGCACTGATAAGTTTTCTTAATAGCTCAAATGACTTTTCCATTAATTTTCTCAAATCTCGAGGAAGATAGTAACTCAGAGCTCATTGAAACACATTACAAATTGCACCAGAGACTTGAAAACCTAAAACAAATGATCACTGATGACGGAGGGAAACCCTTCTGCAAGCTCTCTGGTATCACCGGGTCTGTACAAACACCCGGAGCTCTGAGATCTTGAATGAAGTCACCGGATGCCACAGAAAGGAAATGAATTGACTATTTTGTCAGGGCTTGAAGAAATCAGAATGACAAAGTGGGTACAGCTCCTTCCACACCTGTCAACATATTTCTGTTTAGATCAGTAAGAATAGTCATGTGTAATGTATTCCTCAAGTTAGCGTAGTCCAGTTTGGGTTTTTGTTTGTTCGGTAGTTTTTTCTCCCTTCTTCTTTCAGATGCTGGCTCCTGACACACGGCGATGTTTTTAATGAATCAGAACCTGTGAGTTGTCAATTAAAATACTTACTTACAGGTCGGTATTACATTTTAAAAGTTGCACCAAATCCATTTTGCCCCTACGCGTTTCCATCTAATTAATTCTCAGTGAAACCACACTCACCCTGAAATTCAGAGTTAATGTGTCACTGGTCACACAGCTTTTGGTATGCAGCCATCCTATCCTCACATCTCCACGTACATTTCTGAAGATTAAAGGAACCGTGACATTCAGAGGGGATGCAGAAAGACAGACTTCAACCTCAAGGACACAAATTCCCAGAACTACCACCACCAAATGAAGGCAGAAAGACTGAGATATTTTACCACAGTACTGGAACAGCAGTGGCTCTTAATAACTATATGTTTACTGGGCGGACAGGGGTCATTTCCCATCATCTTTTTAACAAGATTAAAGGTAATTAGTATATCATATCCATTACAAAAAAAAAAAAAAATCATTTTCCAACCTAGTGCCAGTGTAACGGGCTTTTTCATTAGACAGTCATCTGGACGCAGTCGTTAAATGAGGCCTGTAAGACAAGGGCACATTAAACATTTGGCTGAAGGTCACGACCTGCCAAAACCAAGAAGGAGCCGAAGTCCCTTTTCAGATYCAGCTTTCCTCCGCGCGTTGTCTTCATAGGAGGTGTCAGCCCGCGCTCCGCCTGCAGCCACACGSAGGAGAAGGGAAGGCACAAGGAGGAGGCAGGAAGGCAGCAGGACGGGAGCGGAGCCGGCCGCCGTGGGCCGCCATGGGCCGCCAGCGCCTCCTCACGGCGCGCGCCCTCCCGCCCTGCAAACCCAGCAGACACTAACGGCTCTAACGGCTCTAACCGTCAGTTAACATCAGCCCATCACATGTGGCAGCCCCACGCCAGCAAGAACGATCCCTTCTACCTCCTTTCTTGGAGCTCTAATCTGGGAGGAAGGAGCCTCACATCGCTTCTTCCATGGCTGGGCCCCTTCTTCATCCTCCACATTAGGTTTCTCACTGAGCAATCCCCAGCCTTTTCTCCTAGATAACCATGAGTGGACTTGGACTAATCTATGCACTTATTCCACCAGTTCTACGTCAGACTGAAGTTCATCATTACATGGGCTATTTTATTAGCTTTGTAGCCGCTACGGCACTGATAGGGCCAGTAGGGAGGCCCTTTAAATTGAAGTGCTTATGAAGAGACGGTTACTTCAAACACARTTATGAAGTAGTTCACCTATAAAACAAATAGCATGTAGAAACAGCATGAGGAGTCTTCAGTGGAAAGGCAGGATCCTATTTAACGCCCACAATTCAGTGAATGACACAACATGCCAGCTGCCATTCTCCTTGGTAATGACCTTCACATTATCTAATAAATAACTTGTAAATGGAGGAGGAAGATTGTTACCAAATTCAAAAGCAATTCCAGACCTTCATCGAATAATCCCCACTCGGATTAGTAGAAGCATGAGTAGATTGAGCCCACTGTACTTTGCTGCTTGTAGTGAGATTATAACATGAAAAATCRGGGTAATTTTAGACCAATTGTAAAGCCTTCAAGACATGTACTAGAAACAAATCGCAGCCAAGAGGATAAGGACAATTATAGATTTCTCCATGTCACCAAGATGGGGGGAAGGAGTGAAGAAGAAAGAAAAAATATATCTGGGAAACATTACTGACATTTAACTGTCCATATGACCAACAAATATTTCCATATGGGAAATATGAGTGAGAATTGAGGTGGTAATTATTTGCTAAATCCCACTACCACAAAGGGTACTACTACAAAAATAATACTTAAGTTATGGATTTGTGATTCTCTTAGCTCCTTGGCTTACACTCTTATTGTCTTATTTTCTTCTAATAAATATAGATGCTATTAACTGGGGGAAATTAAAAAAAAAAAACTCTGCACTTTTCTAAACAAATATAAGACATGATCCTTATCTGAAATAAACAAAGAAACAACTCCCCACCACACACAAACACAAAACCACACAATACATCAAACAGAAACAACATGCTAAGAATTCCAGTAGCTGAATCCTTCTTTTTYAGTCATTCCTCTGTTTCTCATTAATTTTCATATTACAGAAAACATATGGCATACTCCCAGGTCTTTATTTTTAGTTGACCAATTCTGATCTTTTTAGCTACCTGAGCTTGACCTAAACTCCCCTGAAACCAATACTAATCTGTCCAGCCGCTTGCACTGAAGCTTAATATTGACTATTTTATTCAGCTATAGTTAAAATGTTGATACATGACTTATGGGGAAACTCCAGGGAAACTGCAGGCTTAACTCTAGTGATTTGTGAAATTCGATGTTTTTAAATGCAGCTTGTTCTGTTGATAGGATTTGATGAGACCTTATTACACAACAGCTAATAGAGTACTAGAAATTGCAACTTTCTCATTTCCTTATTGATTTCTCGCTTTCAAGAAAGTGTTCTGAAGTATTTTGGATTTCCATATTTGTTAAGTCAATTACCAGCTACTTCTTTCTTGTTCTGTATTTTAAAGGAGTAACATGAAGTGGGGGGCGGGGGGAAATCAAGGAACTACTTGGATTTTGTCCCTTTTTTTTAAGCACAACATTCCTGATGAAAAGGACTTAGCCAATGCCAGCAAGAGTATGACCAAGGTCTGAACAGAATTCCCAATCGCTATAGGCAGAGCATACTGTATATACTTCATTTTATACACACACATATATAAACGCCCTCCGCTTTATCTCAAGATCCATCAGTCAAAACACTGACATCCAATTTTATGTAGCACTGATACTACACAAGTGGTATATACTGCTAATTTCTATAGAGGTAAAATAGTACCAGCCAAAGCCATTATAGAATCTATTTTTCTATTTTAATTGCTAACCCTATGTACCATTTAAWTTCTCTTAAAAATCTGTTTGCTGCTTCACGTGGAAAAAAAAAAACATGAAAACAAATGTACTTCAAGGAAGACTTAAATGGCAGCACGTAGTGTTTTGTCAATTACAATAAACAGTTTTAAGACTAGAAATAGATTTTTAGATTTCAGACACCAGGGTTAACTTTTACATTTAATGATGAATGTTGAATTCTGGACTTTTCCTACTGTGGTAGCTATGGCAGCAGGCTCCTTGCAAAGAAGCTTTTATCTTCAGCTGACTTATGACATATGCTTTGTCATCTAGCAAAAACTACTCTGAAGTATAGTTCTCGTGATACCCACAAAAATGGAGGCTTTTAAAAGAAAATGAAGAATATAACATCTAAGAAAATTGTCAAAATACTTCATGTATTATACACATTCAATGACATATTCTGCAATTAAAACCTTGCCTTTATGTGTAATCAATATCCTCTAACTTCTCTACAGATATTCTGAATAGACTTTTAATCTCAACCTACAATGATTTTTTTGGTACGTTATTTCATAATCTATTACGCTCACCATCCAGCTGTCATTTCTTTTTGGCTTATCATCAATTACATTCCAAAACAAATACTTATGAGACTCCATTTTTTGTATTGACAAGCCTAATCCGTCTTCCCACGGGAAGCTCTTTGGGATCCAGTGAAGGATTGCGTACAGCCCCAACGAGAGGACCTGTCACTGCCTGCAGAGACACCCCGATGCTTGGCCAGCCTTCTGCTGGGTCTGCATGGGTGCAAGTTGAAACCCAGGCAGYTCCATCTCCGTGTGAGGAAGAACTTCTTCACTGTGAGGGTGCCAGAGCCYTGGCACAGGCTGCCCAGGGAGGCTGTAGAGTCTCCTTCTCTGGAGGTCTTCCAAACCCACCTGGACGCAACCAGGTGCCCCGTGCTCTGGGTATCCCTGCTGGAGCAGGGGGTTGGACTAGATGATCCCTAGAGGTCCCTTCCAACCTCAGCCATTCTGTGGTTCTGCTGGTCGATGTCTGTGCAGCTACGGCAATGAGGATGACAGCACAAACTAGTCAACTATTCAATAAGCACTATTCTCTTCTTCGACTAACAGTATTAAGCAGAAGATAGGGAGATTTCACCTATAATTCCTCCAAGATGACAAATCAAATGCTTTGTGTGGAAGCAGACAGCAGACAGGATGGCATAGAAGCAGTTATACATGAATGAGGTGTAAAAGTCACACAGGATAAAGCTGCATTCAACTTGGTATTGCAGAGAGGCATTGGAAATATCAAATTATACTCACTTCAGTGTTATCCCTTAGGCTTGGTCTTTTTCCAAGTAATACTGACAATATTTTGATAATTAGAAGATCTTGCACAGTGTTTGCAGAACTAAGGCTGGTTTAGACAACCTATAGATCATTTGTGTTTTAGGCTAAAATTTTGTTGGTTTTTTAACAGTGCTGTCATTTCTTTTAGATGTCACCTATCTAATTGTGACAACTTGAAAAGATTCTCCGGCGCTTGGGGAGTGAGCTCTGCCACCACTGAAGTCTGAACTCCGCCTGAACACGAGCCATTTCCTTGGAAATGCTGCTTGGGGGAAATGAGGATAAACTCTGCTTTACTTTTTCTCCCTCTAATTGTGCCACAGCTATTGCAATAGCACATCAAGAGCAAAGGAATGAGAGGAAGGAGAGAGGAACGATAATGCTTTTCACAGTCACATGCCTGCACTGGAAAGCGTGGAGTAKTCAAAGCCGACCAAAACAAAACAAATCATAACAAAAACCACTATTTTTACACGGGTTTGGGAGATGAGCTACAGGCTCCCATTTTGAAACACTGGCYGACAGTGACAAAACTGTGTTTCCACAACACAGAAAAGCATCATCTATCACAACAAAGGATTTCCTGTCACAGGGCCGCTCCTTTCCTCCCCGCTCCAGAACAAAAGATGTTCCTGCCTGGAAGCTGAAGCTAGTGTTGGGAAGACAGAGAAAGGAAGCGGGTCCAGAAGCAGGCAAACGGGCACACATTTTAAGATAACATGGTCTGCTTGGCTTCTTTGCTGTCTCTTCGGTGCCAAAGTTTATTTCCAACCTCTGACGACCAGCTTTCTTTGCGGCAGCAGCATCGTGCTGTTACTTCTTGTGGGCAGCTGATAGGAATTTTCATTGAGGAACTACTTAAATGGCATTGCATCTCCTCCTATATTAAAAAACACGACCTTAGATGACAAGTAACTATAATCACATTTGTTAATTTGACTTGAGCTGAATGAAAAGATATTTATGATAAACTCTGCAATGCCAAACAGGCATTACAATATATCATTAGTGAAATAAAGCTGGTACCATTTAAGTGGTGTAAGCTCTTTGGCAGGAGTGCTGAGCTTTCCAAACAGCAGCAGCTTCTGTCCTTTGCAATGTGCATCTAACCAGTAATTTGTGGCCTTGATGTTTTCCTGACAGCTGCTGTATGGACAGAAGATCAAAAACTGTAGGTGCAAACAGCGTAAGATTTGTTAGAAATGAGAGTCTGGCAAGAGCATCTCTGCAGAAGGAAAGCAACAACTTACATGGAAATTTATGTTTATACCGTAAATCTTGCTAAATCTGCATGTGTGCATTAAAACGTCTATTACATAATAATAAGTTATTCATTAA